GTATTTAGCAAAGAAGAAACAACAACTCGGAGGTTGGGATGCCATGTCAAGGAAGCCAACAAAGTTTTATTTTTATTTTTATTAGTGAGCCTATAACCTACGTCACGAGAATCCACCACTCTAAAGTTGTTTGTCTGTTTGTGCATTGTGATCTACAATATTCACTACTTTGTCGGCCATTTGGCTTTATTACCGCTCAAGTTTATCAACACTTTAACAATAAAGTAAACATCGAACAAAGAAACTTGTGTCAATCAGCCAATCTGAATAAACGCCGTGATATGTTCTCTGTGAAAATAAGTCCATGTGTTCACACCTATTAAATAACTTGGTCCATCCTCAAGCAACATCACTTTCCAAAGTTCTAATGTTATTCTTTGTTGACCCTACCCTAAAAAAGCCGCGCATCTCTCTGCTCCGGTCTAAGAATAAATCCACAAGAAGATCAAATGGTGAACGAACTATCTGAAAACGCTGTACCAAATCTTAAGCTAATCGTGACATTTCAAATTTCGATTCATTTTTTGAATTTATAAAATGTGTATTTTGTTAATGTGCTTATAGTAAAATCTCGTCCGAAACTTATCACTCTGGAGTTATTTTTAAATTAGAGATTTCGCTAGAATCGAACTCGATCGAATTTAGCCATTATTTAAAGTCCGAACTTTGGTGTCGAATTTCTTGGAATTTCACGACGAATTTAATTGGACGGTGTCGATATTATTGTGGCCAGTGTTGATATTGCCCGGGAGTAGTGAAAAGTGAAATTTGGACCGGATGTGAATTTAGACTAGTAAACCTCTTTCGTAATGTGTTTTAGTTAGTGTTTTGATCCTTTTCCCTAATTTATTAATTTAGGATTTTCGTGGCCGTTGGATCAAGCTCGCGAGATCGTTTTGTGGCCGTTGGATCGCACTTGAGTGCTTTATTTGACTTTTTGCTTCTCTCTCCCCCGCTCATTTCCCCCCCTGTCACGATCGTCCTTCCCCCTCTCTCTCTCTCTCTCTCCCGCTCATTTCCCCCCTGTCACGATCGTCCTTCCCTCCCCACCTCCGCGCAGCTCTCCGGCCACCGCCCAACCGCCGCGCGTTGTCCGCCCGAGCCGCCGTCCGGCCGCTCGCCCCAGCTGGAGCCGCCGTGACCGTCACCCCTCCCCTCTGTTTTGCCTCATCGAGTTTTCCCCTCCCTCCTCCGCGCGCGTGCGTCCGGCCCGACGCCCAGCCGCCGTGTCGCCGCAGCTCTTCCGGCCACCGCACGTCGTCCACCCAGTCGCCGTGCCGTCGCCGACCGCCGCTGGCTCCCCCATTGCCGCCGCGATCCCCCCTTCCCCTGTTCTGGCTTACCCCCCCCGCTCCGCCTCGCCAGCCATCGCCGCGCGCCGCCGTCTCGGCCGCCGCCGCCCTCGCCGGCTCGCCACCACCACCCGGCTCCCCCTTTTCCGCCTGGTCGCCGCCCCTGCTGCCGCCGGCGCCACTGTGGCCGCTGCACCCCTATTCCGGCCACCACTCCCCTCCCCTTCCTCTGTTCTCTCTCTCTGTCCCTGCTCCGACCGTCACCGCCGATCGCCGCCGCTCGAACGCCGGAGCTGCTGCTGTCCCGGCGACGTGGCTGCTTCTGTTCCGTCCAAGTCACCGCTCGTCACCCGTCCAGCCTTCGACGTGGCTGCTTCTGTTTCCCCCCAGCCGCTCGCCGTCGCTGCCCAGCCGCGGCCGGACCTGCTGCTGTTCCGGCGAGGTCCCTGCCACTCACTGCTGCTGCTGCTTCTCACCACCGTGAACCCAGCCGCTCACCCCGTCGCCGGACCTGCTGCGTTCAATACGACCGTCAAACGGGTGTCGCGAGCTCGTTGGGGTTCGGGGCGTGACACTAATGCTCGTCGCCGATTGTTGAACTCCATCATCTAATGGCTTCTCCCTCGATACCCAAAAAAATTTACGATGTCTTCTTGAGTTTCAGAGGCGAGGATGTCCGGAATAACTTTCTTGGTCATCTCTACACAGCTCTTGACCAGAATGGAATTTACACTTATGTTGATAATGAGGAGCTCAGGAAAGGAGAGCAAATAACGCCGGCGCTTATGAAGGCAATCGAGGAATCGCATATCGCGATCATTGTTTTCTCCGAGGATTACGCTTCCTCGTGGTGGTGTTTGGAAGAGGTGGCAAAAATCATGGACTGCAAGGAAGAAAGAGATCTCATGGTATTTCCGGTGTTTTACAAAGTGGATCCCAAAGAAGTGAGAACACCAAGAGAGAAGTACAGAGAAGCTATGCTTAAGCATGAATCCAAGTTCGGGAAGGATTCAGAGGAAGTGAAGAGATGGAAGAAAGCCCTTTATGATGCTGGTAGCTTGTCTGGGTGGCATTTGAAAGATGGGTAAGTGGAGTGGAGTCCATATTTTGTGTAAGAAGATAATTTTTACAAGTATAGAGATTGTTTGTGAAAATAAATAAATAAATCTATACACATATGATTGTAAGTATACATATAAGTACTTCATCTCAAGAGTCCTGAAATTTCTTAGGTGGCTTCAGTTAAAGTTAGTAATTTCATATAAGAGTTGGTGAATTTGAGACTTAGTTAAGAAAGAAAAATAAAATTTGGCAAAAGAGAAGAAAGGTTAATAAATTAAAGTAAAATGAGCTTGGCAAGTAACTCAAACGAGAATTGACAACCCAAAATTAATTAGTAACTTAATGGGAGAAAAGTCTATAAGTCACTCTAATTAAGATTGGTAATCTCTAAAATTAGTTAGCAAGTAACTCAAATGAGAGTTGATAACTCAAGTGAAAGTTGGTAAACCAACATAACATAAGTCGCTCAAGCGAAAGCTGGTAACCCAAAATAGTAGGTAAATATTTAATATGACAAATGTTGGTAAGTCAATCTAATTTATGTTGGTAATTTAATATAAAAGTTAGTAAGTTCGAGCTATAAGTTATGCAAATCAAGTTTGGTAAGTTAATACAAAATTGGTAATTTGCAAATTATGAAAAATGTAGGTGATTTCATAAAATTGTTGGTAAGTTACTAACATGTTACGAGAAAGAAAAAGTCACCGATCTTTTCTTCACTAACAGTTTTTCGACACTTACCAACACTTACTAAAATTCACTAGCACAAAAAAAAGAAGAAAAACCCTGCTTTTGGGCATGGAAGAATAGAATTTTGCCTTTGGCTTTTACTAAGCCCTGTTTCATTCGGGCAAGATGAATTGCTCCTCTTTTTGGATCCTTGTTGCCGTCCTCAAAGTATAATAAAAGTTCTAAACGTTTTGTGTGGGCTATCTGAGTTCTTCACGTTTCATTTTGGTCTATTGAGTTCTACAGATTTTCAATTTTAGTCAACCAAGTCATAAACTCATTACTGGTTGCATTTTTGGCTAACCAAAGAATAGACACGTTGCTTTTTCCCGTAATAAAAATTGACAAGACAACTTCATCGGCAATGACATTGTGCTTCAGGGTATTTTAATAGTTTTCGAATTGAAATCTTACCACCGTTCAAGGTCCTAAATAGCTCCTTTTGATTTAGTGTATAAATAAATCTCATATAACGGTTCAAAGAGAGAAATAAGTAAATCGTCATGTATAAATCAAAAGAACATAAATCACTTGGATGACTAAGTTGAACCTGAACTTGTTTTGATTGTTGTGGAGCTCTTGGAGTTCTAATTAGACTCGGTGGTATGCTGTGATTATGTGAAAATGTGATGCACTGCTTTGTCATTGTTGACTCATGATTGCCCGTTATTTGCTTATTCAAATTGCTAACATGCCACAACTTACTTTTCCATTTTTGTCAGAGATGAGTCAAAGCTTATACAAACAATTGTGACGGAGATCTCCACTCACCTAGAGCGAGCACCTTTGCATGTTGCTAAGCATCCAGTTGGGATAGATTCCCACGTGGTTAAGCTAAAATCAATGTTAAACCTTGAGTCTAATGATGGTGTTCTCATGGTGGGATTATGGGGACAGGGAGGCATAGGGAAGACAGCTTTAGCAAAAGCCCTTTACAATGCTATTCATAGACAATTCCAGGGATCGTGCTTTTTGGCAGATGTTCGAGAAACTTCAAAAGATTGCAAGGATTTAGTTAGTTTGCAAAAAAAAATACTATCCGACGTATTATTGCCGAAAAGATTAGTATTGTCCAATGTCCATGGAGGTATTAATCTAGTACGAGATAGACTTTGTCGCAAAAAGGTTCTCCTCATCCTTGATGATGTGGATGACTCGCGCCAGTTAAATGCTTTAGCAGGAGAAGGCAAGTGGTTTGGTAATGGGAGTAGGATCATCGTTACTACAAGAGATAAACATTTGCTAACTTGTCATGGCATAGATCAAGATCATGTGTATGAAGTTCAAGCATTGGATGACAGTGAAGCTCATGAGCTGCTTAGTAAGCATGCTTTTCTAACACATCAAAAATTAAAAATCAGGACAGATTTAGTGAATAGTGTTCTGAATCATGCTAAAGGCCTTCCTTTAGCACTTGAGGTCCTGGGTTCCTTCTTATGTGGTAGAAAAGAACATGAATGGGAAAGTACACTGAAGAAGCTTTCTAGGATTCCTAACAAAACCATTAATGATGTGCTCAAAATAAGTTATGATGGACTCGAGGAAAATGAGAGGGAGATTTTTCTCCACATAGCCTGCTTCTTTAAGGGGTGGGATAGTAAATACACAGAGAAAGTGCTCGACAGTTGTGATTTTGAGACAACTATAGGATTAGAAATTCTCATTGAGAGGTCCTTGATAAGCATTGAGCGCGGAATCCTACAACTCGCATGACTTGGTTCAAGTGATGGGTATGGATATTGTGAATCAAGAATGTCGAGATGATCCCACAGGCTTGATGGTACGTGGCTACATGGTGATGTTCTGGATGTTTTGTCGCACGACATTGTAAGGCTTGCAAATACAATCAAAATTCTTCTCCTCATCTTTTAGTCTATTTACTATATATGCATAACCTATATGGTCTTGTATATACAGGCAGATTGTGCTATAAAAGCCATAGTGTTGGAGCCACCTGAGCTGAAAGAGATATGTATCGGTCCTAATGCTTTCACAAAAATGAGAAGGTTGAGAGTACTCATTGTGCGCAATGTGCATAATTCTTTCCAAGGTCCTATATATCTTCCTAATGAGCTTAGATGGTTTCAATGGGCTGGATGTGCTCCCTGGATTCCAGAATTTTCCTCTGGTCCAAAGAAATTAATGGGACTTCATATGATCAAGAGCAGTATCACAGTGGTGCCGCAACAATTTAAGGTGAGCATTTATCTACATAGACCCTTTTATTATCTACTTCGTTTGGAAATGCATACACGTATTATATGTACTAGTACACAAAAGAAAGTGGTGTTCCTCTGTTTTAGAAACCACCTCTCTATTTTTTTTCGGTAATGACTTTAACAACTTGCTTTAGAAATAATATGCGGCAAAAAATTGCATTTGAAAAAAAAAACTCGAAACAACTTTATTAGAATATTCAATGGAAACATTTTGTTGATAAGATACACAATACAAAGAAATTTTATAAATATATGTGGAAAGAGAATGTTCAGAATTTAAAACTTTTTTATGAAGGTCATTGCATCATTAAAAGTTTCAAACACTAATGTTGAAATATGTAAGAGGTGAAATGTCCAATTTCATGTATCGGTCCACGGGTATAATACCTATAAAATAAGTAATTGAGGATAATTGATGGAGGGGGAAAATTGAAATCTCATAAAAGGAGGAGGTCATCTTTACTTCTATAGACGAAGTTCAAATACTTTATGAACCTAATATCTCTAACTAATATTCCAACATCGAATCAAATCTACCCAGTGAAGAGATTCAAAATGCAAATCTGCTAGTGTAAGCTGTGTAAGCTAATTCTATGTCAGTTGTCTACTGAAAATTGAATAATTGATCAAATAAAAGGGGAATAAAAGTGTGACGAACTAACCCGTTGACATGTATCTAAAAACAAAAACACCAAAGAAGTAGAGGCCACGTAGTCACCATGTGATGAGGCCTTACTCAATGCACGAACATAAACGGCGAGATTTGTCCTACATCAATAAAATTAGCTCAGTCGAAGGTTTGAATACACCATGCTGTAAAATAAGGCATTGTTGAATGCTTAAATCAGTTCTTAAGGAGCAGTATTTCTAAGTAGACGTGATAAAATATTCATTATAAATTTTGCTACTTGTGGCGTGTAATGCTTGCACAACTTATTCGATATAAGTGATCCAATAGGGGCTCACCACAAGCTTCTTAAAAGAAAGCCAGAGCTAGATATGAATTGAATATATGAAATTTTTATAGTCTTCCGAATGATTTTCAAAGTTGACTTCATCTTCTTTGCAAAACTTGAAGAAATTTTAAAATTTTATTAATTTTCAAGAAATCTCATTGTGATAGAATTTATATTCTTGATATTCATCTATTATATAGAGTTAAAGTGAAAACTGACAAAGTATTCACTCACGTGCTTGCCACGTGACACTTCACCTTGCCTTTATGAATTCCACGTTGTATCACATGCATGTGGCATAGTTTTTTCAAGGGGCCCGCATTCGAATGCTCGTCATGTGACACTTCACTTTGCTTCTATGATTGCCACATGGCATGAAATGTGGCATAGTTTTTTCATGTGGCCCACATTTGCATGCTCATCACATGGCACTTTACTTTTGTAATTGCCACAAGGCATGACCCGTGCCATAGTTTTATCCAAAACTAATTTTTGTTTGCTAACAGATGGTAAATTCAGGTCATGGATACCAATTTGGGATTTTTTGTGAGACAAAAATTACTTTAGGGTAAATGTGTAATGGTCGTATCAGTTTGGGATTTTTTGTGAAATGAAAATTAATTTAGGGTAAATCAGCGTACATATATGAAATTTTTAATGGTATTAACTCAAATTTTTTCTAATGATTGTTTAACGTAATTTTATTTGTGAATATTTTTATATTTTGTATCTATATTTTAATCACTTCTTTTAAATAATATTTAAATTGTAAAATGATAGGAGTTAAACTAAATTGCTGGGCCAAAGCTATATCGTGAGCGTGCCACGTGACTTTACCTCGCACGAGCTTTACCGTGTATATAAAGTGTTCAGTAATTTTGCAATACAACATATAATTTACACGAAATCAGTTTATAATGACTTTGAATGACAAGTGAATTAATAGGTTAAGAAATTTACTCAGAAACCTGAATAGTAGGTTCCGAGTAGCCTAAGGATGAAAACACTTAAAAAGTGGCAAAGGTATCGTACAAATACCCGTTTTTGCCCTTTCAAAATGTTTATTGAAGTTGGCTCGTTGTATTTGCAGGACTTCCAACAATTGAAGTACATTAACTTGAGCGACTGCGAGTCGCTGGTTAGTATGCCCGACCTCTCATGTACTCCAAATCTCGAGGAATTGAATCTCTTGAATTGCAAAAACTTGGTAGAAGCACACGAGTCAATTGCGTATCATGACGTATTACAAGTGTTGAATTTAGAGGGGTGCTCTAAACTTAGTGTTTTTCCAAATGTGCTCAAGTCAAAAAATCTCCGGGCTCTCAATCTTCGTAATTGCACAAGATTTGAAAGGTTCCCTGATATTCCACATAAACTTGAAGGCTTCAAAAAGCTTTCTTTAGAAGGGATTGCTATTAAAGGACTTCCTATGTCAATAGAAAATCTTGTCTCTTTGGAGGATATGTTCTTATATGATTGTAGGAACCTAGTAAGTCTTCCATCTAGCATTTACAAGTTACAAAACCTTGAAAACTTGGTAATTGAGTGTTGCACAAATTTAATCGGGTTTCCAAAGTATGAGGATTCAGCTGATCCGTGCATGAAGACCGGACTTGCAAATTTACGCTGGTTAGACCTGGCGGGATGTAATCTGTCTGAAGTAGAGTTTCTTGAGAATCTTTCCTGCTTTCCCTTATTGAGGCAAATAGTTCTATCGGATAACAATATTATTAGCCTTCCTACATCCATCAATATGCGTGATCAGTTGATCGAATTGATAGTTACAAATTGCCATCAATTACAAGAGATTCCCGGGCTTCCACCATCATTGCATAATCTTTATGCGGCGGGTTGCGAATCTCTGCCAAGAACTGGAGATTTACCTTCATTTCAAGATTTTGTCCATAGATGGTTGACCACGGCTGATATTTACTCACTTGACCCGGTTAGACTCTCTCTCTCTCTCTCTCACACACACACATACACACTCACGCACACACATCGATGTAGAGTATATGCTGGATTCATTGTGTGCTTGTATATTGCAATAGCAGAAATTGCAAAAGTGGAGGCTTAAGAAAAGCAAGCAAATATAAAGTGGTTTTGCACAAATATGCATGTAATGGAGTTGGTTACCGTAGTTTCATGGGAATGATTTCTATCATGAGACTTGTGTGTTAACACAAGCAAGGATCGATGGATCTCTACTCATTTATAGAGCTTAGTTCGAAGTGAAATTTACTAAGATTATTTGCTAAACTCAATTTGGATTCTTTTATTTGGGTACTAACAAACTTGAATACTTTCTAACGGTCTCTCTTTATAACAGATTCATCCTGATTTCGTAACTATTCTCCCTAGAGGAGAGATGCCAGAGTGGGTCCTACTTGCTGAAGAGGGTTCCATATCTTTCATGGCTTCAGAGGACTTGTATAACAAGTTCCTTGGATTGGCTCTGTGTGTAGTTGTTGGTGACGATGAACAAAAAGAGGAAATCTCGTTTGAGCTTGTATCACATGTTAATGGCGAAAGGCAGAATAGCCCTAGGTTTTCTCACTATACGTTGGATTCGGATCATATCTGGCTTGAGTATATGACACCATCTAAGCTATGGGGAGCGGTTGATTTTGGTCAAATTGATGGGAATTATGTACAATTTAGTCTTGAAGTATCGAGTAGAGTGGTGAAAAAGTGGGGATTCCGAATAATATGCAAGCATCTAGAGGACGGTGTAAAGATCATGCTTCAAGATAATCAGCTAATAGATCCAGCCTTACTCTATGAGATTGTTCAGGAATCAACAGGTTTGGAAGCCGAGAGTTCAGTCATGAACGAAAATAGTTCGATCGAAATAGATTTACAGAAAGACTTGCAAGATTGTCAAATGAATACTGAGAAACAGAGTCAAATAGGCACAAAGGGAAATCATAAGCTTATTCTCACCCAAGGGATTCGAACTGAGACTATGTTGACTTCCAGTTCGACCTGCAAATATGAGCATGGTGGTGTTGGCTTGCAGCTTTTGTTGTTAGAATGATGGAAACTTGCTAAGGAACCAATTCGCAGGTAAGTGAACTCAGCTGATCTAGATTTCAATGCCTTCTTTTGTCTTATTCTTCTTGTTCTCTATTCTCAAGAAAACTTGTAACGCGCTGCTAGTACCCACTGTTACCCGTATGTTTCTGTTCAGGTATTTTATGTGTCCATTTTAATTAGTGTTAACTTTGCTAGCTACAGCGATGGAAATGATTGGCCCTGCAGAGAGCTCTCAAGGAAAGCATGCAAAGGATGTGACTGGAGAGTTACGTGAGGAGGTTTGGGCAAACAAGAAGAAGAAGATACGCATACTCTTACGTGTGGGAAGCATGCAAGCATGGAAAGGGGTCCTGATGGATGAAGATTTGGTCAGAACACGTAAAAGAAGTGGGAAGTTATCGTGCCGTTTATCAACGCGGGACGTCCATTTGATGCCGGTGGAGGTAAAATTGGCAGAGAAGATACAACTTCCATTGGAGTCTAGAGGACGAAGGCGTAATAGAAGAGAGTGACGCACGCACACAAGAATACTCTCCGTGAGTTTTATCTAATCTTTGTTTTTTCATTTTTAACTTTTTCTTTACTTGCACCTTCGCTTCTTGCCACTTTCATTTCCGTGTATTTTCTTTTCAAAATTTATTGCCTTTCAATGTAATCTCAATTCCGGTGCATCTACCTTAGTCTCACGTAGATTCATCCCTCCAAGTCCTAAGCAAAACCTCAAAAAGTTTCATCCAAAGGTCACTCGAACATCGGAGTCCTTAAGATGTAAAGTTTCTACGAGGTATTTCCTCTCGCCAGGAAGACAAAGATGCAGCGGGAATTAGGGCGCAGAACGTACGGGCGCTAGCATGTTAAAATAAGAAACGCGTCCGTGGAGCTGTTGTCATTGTAAATCAAATAGAGAGGCCGCAAAGGCCCCTGTCAGAGCTTAGTTTCACATAGAGTCATCCCTCCATCCAAACCCCCATCCGTACAATTTATACTCGAGTATGAAATCATGGAGCAATATCGGTCGTTCTTCCATCACTCAACTATCACTGGAAACGAATTCGAACACATGACTCATAAAAATTATTCAAAGCCTTTATCAAATCACATAGCTTCTCCGTTATGCCATTTTTCTAGGAACGACTTCTTGAAAACCATCAATGTCATATTTTTTGCGAAACAATATCAGCATATCAATATTGATTTTCGTCTTTGTCGAGGCACCCTTCCATCATAATAGAAATATAATATAATGTTTGATGATCGCTTGCTTGAAATAAACAATTACCTTTTGCTTCTTCTTTTTTGGCTCAAATCCCCTTTAATTAACCCTAGTTAGTTAACTTTATTGCCAAATAGAATTCTGCAATTCTTGCTTCTCTTTGTTCATTTTCTTTGATTTTCCCGCTGGAAGCTCCTTCCTTTTTCTCCGCCATAAAGGCAAATTTCGAACTCCGCCGATGCCACTTTCAGCATCACCACCAGTGAGCTCTGACGAAATGGATGATCGCCACTTGCCAACAGAGGCGACAAACAGAAGAAGAAGAAGAAGTTCCTGTAACGAAGGCGACGACGGCGACGGAGACTGGCCAGCGAAGGCGACCGAAGCCATGGAAACTGGTGACGTAGCTTTGGGCGAACGATTCTCTGCTGAGGTTTTGGGCTTCATGCAGCTTGCTCTATAGATCAGGTAAGCCTGGCACATCCGGATTTTATTAAGTTGGTGTCTGGATTTTGAATTCGATTCATTTGGTTCTGCAATTGCGCGGGAATTTGAAGAATGTGTCGGTGAATTTGTTGGGGTGACGCTGAATCACTGTTTCTTCGGAAATTTTGTCTGTGGATGCTTGATAATGAACTCATAGGTTATTGACGTTACACGCTGCAAAATCAGCGACAATCTCCGGAAGGTATAGCTTTTTTTTTGGTTGTTTTCATAGGTGGCAATTTATTGAAAGAAGTAAGTGAAGTCTAGGTTTAAAGGAAAAACAAGCAAGGGAGAGTGAAATAACAGGAAGTAGGGTGTACATGGGTTGGTTCAGTCACCTTTTCAGGGCAAAGACTGAGCCAATCTGGGTGCTGTAGGTTGGGAGGGAGGGAGGGATTTGGGTGCTTTTGAGGTGTCTAGGAAATGTGGATGTGGATGTGTATGTAATTATTATACAGATATGCTGCGGGTGATAGGTTTGCCAGGAGAATTGAATTCTGAGAAACTTCGATCACTGGGACAGGGCTCTGTCTCTATGTTTTATGAGGCGCTCGAAGAGGCAAAACCATAGAGGAATGAAGAAGTTGCAGTGAGATGGCAAGCCACCAGGAAAGGTTGCTTGACAGTTGAGTCCTTTAACCAATTCTTGACTTTGGCAAGTAGGAAGAATTGAAAACCAAATTTACTTGGAGTGTGAGAGTAATATGAACATCTGTTGTGCCCATGGATAACTGGTTAGGTGGTTATTTTCTTTCTCCCTGTGGACTGTGCATATGAAAAAGAAATAATCATGAGAAACATGGAGTTTACATAAGTTATTCAGTAGAGAAGAGTCAAAAGCACAGGATGCTAATTGTCGATTCTGAATTCTGAGGCCTTCGCAACAGTTTAGGATTCTTTTTTTATCCTTATGTACCATAGCTTGTATGAAGGAAAATGACCGAGAAGCTAAAACTCCTGGATGCTTCTTGAATGTTTGAGTGAAACCTATTTGATGAAACATGAGCTTCTAAGGTACCAATGATAGGACACACTGGAATGAGCAACATGCAGTTTCTCAAATTAGTTGCTGTTTCTGCTTTAGTGTGGTTAGAGCCATATCACTTTAAAAGTTAGGTCTGATTTGCATCCGAATTACAGTACGAATATGTTGTAATAATCATTGTTTAGAAGTTTGTGACCAGTATATAATATAGGACCTGCAGGATACTGATTGTGAGACATGCATTCATTCCATTAGTAGCTGCATATTGATACTGAATATTTCTACTGCTGGACACATGATGCTGATTTCCTCTTGAATTGCTTGTATGCATGCTTGAGAGTTTCTGACTCTTATACTCATATTTTTTTCTTCTAACAAGTAGCAAAACCTATTTGCTGTTCTTATATAAGGCAAAGCTTGCTTTGGACATTCTTAAAGTTCCAGTTGGGTAAAAAACTAATTTTCAGTAACCATGTGCATTTCAGATATACAACTTTATTTTCTAATTAAGATGATTAATATTTCAGTCTTAATTAGTGAATGATTTCAGATTGTACTCTTTTATTGAACAACTGTGTGATTGTTGAGGATGGGCACATTATTGCGACAGGAAGAAACCGGACTAATGAGACACGAAATGTACGGTTTATCGTTGCTTCTTCACCCCCTTGTATAAATTTAGCCAACAGCACTTTGTTATTGTCCTGTATAGATACCCTCGAATTATCCACTCGTAGTTATTGTTGATCATTATATATTTCTCCCATGACCATTACTTTAATAGACAATTAAAGAATTATCAGAACAAATCTGTTAATAAGTGGGAATTTCCCATGCATTATGAGGCTGTAAATGGTTTTGTTCCCATTATTCTTTCATAAAATATGACTATGGCTAACACTAGCAATAATCTGGCTTTATTGTGCACAATTTTTTTACATATTTCATTTCCCATTGTGCTGTCTGGAACCATATTATGGTCTTTATCAGCTTTTGTGAAGTTCCTAACATTGTTTCCGTAGACCATATGTTAGCTAAACTTTGGTATACTTATTTGGTATAAAAATGAATTGTGAACATTGTATTGCCCTTTAAGATGTATGAACGTGCTTCTTGGGCCCATTTTTTTCACACAATGGCCACTGTCTGCACAAATAGTTTAAGCTTGGTTTCTGGTAGAGATAATCTCTTATCTAATAGTCTATTCCTGTAATCATTAATAGTTATGTGGTAACAAAACACTGCTATAAATGACTTTGCGGACAGTAATAAATAGTTGATGTGAAAAATACTTAGCCCTTTGAGTATCTTGTGGAGCATAATGAAAAAACAAAGGCACCTGGCTATAGGGGTGTATAAAAAATAATGTTAGAAAAGGTGGAGGTGGCCAATCCAATAAGAAGCCTCTTTTCATGTGAGATTATCAGTAACTTCAAGTGAGCAAAGCTTGTTGATATCATGTAGAATATGCCTTGATCAATCCTTTATATACTCAATCAGATAACTTGCTGGAGAAAACATTTCTCATGAAATGCATTTCCTAAATTTTATGAAACTACACTAATAGCAACTTTCTCTCTGGCAAAGCTCCTAAGTTTGATCTGCTTTCTTTATTTTTCTCCTTGCGCTTTCATAGGCAACAAGACATGTTGAGAGGGACGTTCTTGATGTTCTTCTTGAACGCAGAGGACAGGATTTTCGGCTGCAGAAGTTGCAGAAAAGTTTTCAGCATGCTCCCTTTATGTGGCATGTGAACCATGCATAATGTATGCAGCAGCATTATGGATCACTGGTACATCTGTCGATCATACTCAAACAAAACTAAACTTTCCTAAAATTTATTTGTTCATAAATGATTAGATGACTCTTAGCCACTTTTAGGTATAAAGGAAGTATATGGCCATGCGAATGATAAATTTGGATGCTGTGTCTTGATGTTCCATTAAAGTACCTCCAAGGCATGCATTAGGTCAGTTTCTGAACTTGCTTTTGTTTCTGATTTTGTATCTACTTAGCTCCACTTTGAAATTGTGACCTATGACAATTGACAACTCAAGCTTACTGGAGGTTTATGATTCCTTATGTTGATTATTGATCAATGCAGTTTCATAGTGATTCTGTTTGCTGTCGCACCTTGAATATTGCAACACACAACCATGAAAATAGAAAAGGTTTATGGAACTAATTAATTATCTTTTCTGTCCTTTTCCTAGTCTAAATGGAAGAAAGTGGAATTTCCCGAAGTGTCAAGTAGTCGAGTTTATATTAATTCTTTCTATCCTTGCTTTATTTCTTTTTTCTTAAATTCTTTGTGACTGTTTGAACATTTTTCTTTTTTTAATTTCCCCTAAAAAATTTACAGTTCTGGGAAGCGCTACAAGTTAAAGCTAACATTAGTTAGTTCTTTCCTTTTCCCTTTGCCCTTTTTGTCTTCATCTCTTCTTCCTCACTTGTTTTCACTGCAATGAGATTCTTTGATGTCTTAATGTTATCAAGTTTAAATCGGGAAATATAGTATCTTCAGAGAAGTATGATTTTTTTAACAATGAGCAAATTATGCTTTTTGATATGCCGTGGGCAATGTACTTGATCTTCTTGCATACATGAGGGCAAGTGCTTGCTAAATCGTGGTGGATGGCTTGTCTTTCCAGTATGATTTTTCATCTGTCTGAAGCTGGCATGATGTGACATTTCATGTTTGCTAAGCTTGATCAGAACTCATAAATTTTTTATTCAGACTTTGTTGACATAAAACTTAAAACGTAATGAAATAGGATCTGTTTCATTGTGAGTTGAACAGTACATGAAGTAGCTAATGTAGATTATGACATTGTCTTTCTGTTGAAGTATTAGTTTTGAAAGAAGAAGCTCAAGTATGGGGATAAGCAGCACGAGATGTACTAAAGATGCATCTAAACAAGATGTTAAGTGGAAAAAATAAACCTTGAAAAATCTTACTTTTAGAGCTTGAAATACATAGTTATTCTGCTCTTAATAATATGATTATGAGTGAAAAGTATTGTGGGAAACATGACCTAACTCATTACCTTTCTGAATACAACATCAAGCAAGGGGACTCATCTTGCAGATAAAGGACCACCTTGCTCAATTTCCTCTCTCTGGAGCTCAATTGCTAGCCCAAATCACTGCATAGTTTCATGAGAGAGAATGAGACTGTTATAACAGTGAGCACAGTTCCTATGCGATGTTTGGAAGATGTAGCTGATGGAAACCATCCTAGCTGGTACCAGTACACAAGTCATCCACAAATCTTCTCTCAATCAGATCACTGTTGCAAGATCTCTCTGAAGAGAAGATGCCCATCCAAATTAAAAGCCTCTAAGCATCACCTATTTACAGCATATTGTTTGTTCTCCAAGGACATTAGGTTCCATGTCGAAGAGAAAATATAGAACGGCCCAAATGCATCATGAAAGTAAAAAATTTTAAGCCATCTTTTATATTTGATGCAAGAATTTTGCCAAGGTCAATGCCTAGTTACTGTCAATTGAATCAAATGGTACAGTTCATTGATAATTTGCTTGCATGATTTTCCTGGACTACAGACATTTCTTTGAATTGATATTGTTAAGAACAAAATGTAAACTTCCTAAACTAAACATATTCACCTACTGGCGAGCTTGTGTTTGCTTAAATGATACCTTCTTTTGCAAATTGCTTTGTCAATTTTAGTCTGCCGAATTATCTCTAGCATGATATTTGGACATGCCTTGCAAATGGAATCTGTCTCGGGTTTCAAGCTGATGAGCTAGGTGAAAATGCAGTGTCATTAGAAATATTGGCTGGTTTCCACAGAAATTTCACCTATGTTCCCCCTTTCGAGTGTCTGCCCGACTTATGAATGTTTCCAACTTTTTTCTTGTTTCTCTAGCTGTAATGGGAACTCTGGATCAAAGGGTTTCAAATGTTGGAGGTATAATGACATCAGAAGCAGTATCTCTTCTGCAAGATTTTTATGAATGAGGAAACCCTAATGGTATGAACAGCAATCAACCACCAGTAGTTAGGACCTATTTACTTTAGATACCTAAGGAAAATGATAGTTCCTTTTTAATGAACCCATAGTTAATTACACATTTTAAGAGGCTTTTACTAGCATAATAGAGCAATTCTACGTTTTGAACCAAAGTTTACTTTATCAATTGATGAAGTAGAGCATTGTGCCTGCTAGCTACATCTCCCTGCAAGACCGTTCCATAGAAAGTTCTCTTCTAATAATACAATGGTCTTCCTTTCACTCATCCATTTCCATATTGTTTAAGAAGAATTCTGGAAGCCTCTTTCTATTTCTACCTTTCAATCAATTCTTCCAACCAGCTAGAGAAAGAATTGTAGCTGGGTTAATGAAATTGCAAGCATACAACTAGCAGGCCATTGGTTGGATTAGAACCCATTCAGAAGTTTTCTCCATCAAGGATAAGGTGCTTATCTTGAGATGGTGGGTACACTTATCCAGACTGACACTAAGTATAGTTGCTTGAGTGGACTGGTGTTCAGCCATATAATGGTTGCTATAAATAGGTGTAAAATTTGCCCGGGAAACAAAAGGTAGAGTTTCAGATTCCCAATCAATTCGTTTGGCCAAATTTCAGATGCCCGGCTAATCGTATGTAGGTTTCCTCTAGACTGGGTATTTTTAACCAGATTGCCATTTGAGAAATAAAACTTCATGTCCTTGGTTAAGAAAAAAGACGAAGTGCAGCATCTTAATAGTTGATAATCCATTGGTTAGACTTATTTGAGAGAAATATCTTCTTACTTGATCCCTATCTTAAATTATTAAAAATATTCACTTGTACTCTCAATTTACTAAATTTTATTTAGTAAATGTCATTCTAAGTCACCTCATATCACTCTCCACATGCCCTCATTAACTCTTTCCATTTTTTGTGACATAGAATGTCAATAAAAGGGGAAAGAAAAATCTCAGCTCCGCAAGTGATATTCATCGTTATTTCTAGGACATCAAGTAACAAGTAATGCAATCTTATAAATATGTATTGCCAATATGCATCGTGAAAATCATACCAATGAATATTCTCAAAAACCTAAGTTTAAATGGTTCATGGGCTTATGTGGTATTTTAAAAGCCTCCAAGGTAGCTATGATTATGATAAAAAAGTGCAAGACGGTTAGACCTATTTTAATGAATAAAACAAGTTTTAAGTTTTGACCAAATGACTACAATGTTCTCTCTCTCTCTCTCTCTCTCTCTCTCTCTCTCTCTCTCTCTCTCTGACGGTGTGGGTGTACACACCGCGCAGCACAACTTTCAGCATTGATTAAGAATAACATTTAACTATCTGGATAAATGCACTAATATATATACAATATTTTTATTCTGGTAATTTTTCCATATCACCAAAATTAATCAGTTCATGATTGCTATCATGAGCCATATTTTCCATTAAAAGTGCTTTGAATAAAAATCCTTGACTTTTTTCGACGTAAAACCATTTGAGTCCACAAAAAAGAAACTAGAAAAATTTTATGTGATGATCCTCAATATGAAATATATCTTTTGGTACATCATCAAGTAGTTCAAATGCTATTATAACACGGTTCAAATACTATTTGTTTAATTTCTCATGAACATTCACATATCCTAAATTTCTAGTAGGCTAATATTGTGTTTGCCTATAAACACATGATTTTCTAGATCCACCATTTCTCACAAGTTTGTCGGTCCAATGGCTTGTTGACAGCCACATTATTCGAGGTGGAGCAAATCCAAGCCGTATCACATGTACGCACGATATTAAAAGATGCTTCCCAATAAAGACTGAACGAGCAGGTTAAAGAAAGATTCTTGGTTTCAAAGCCCAATATCTTTGCACGTGGTGCCACCACAGGTTTCACAATACTTTTTGATAATGACAAGAAATCAATCAATTAGTGTCCGATCTACGATTATCAAGATACATCGATCTTCTCCCACGAATTTGCCACATAAGAGTTGGTATACATAAAGCTAACGAAGATGATGAGAAGTTATGATATACTTAAATTGTACATATAAGATTATGAGTAATTGTTTATTAAATTATTATTTAGCAAAGAGAAAACCACTACTCAAAGGTCGGGAACGCCATCTCGAGGAAGCCATCAAAGTTTGTCTTATTAGTAAGTCTATACAAAAGCCAACCGAATGAAAGGCAATTTTTCGTTTTCCATATAAGAAAAAGAAAAACGAAGACTAAATAGATGAAAGCCATTCCGTCGAAGCTGGCAGAATATGATGATTGCGCTATCTTGAAAGTCGACAAAAACTAACCTAACGAAAGACACTCCAAAAACAAAAACGATACTTCATTTAGAATTTAACTACACTATTTGAAAGTTCGAGAATTCTGTTATACTTTCGTAATAAATTTTATAATTTTTGGTGCAGTTATTTTTTTAGAAATTATCACTCTCAAAGAGTGATTACTAACTTTCGCCGATTAAGTTATCGGCTAATTTTGCATTGACAACTCTTGTTTAATTTAGTTTCCAACAATCATTTCACTACAAAAAAATAAGGTTTTAGCCACGAATTTTTCCACGAAAAATTTGGCAAAATTCGTCGCTAAATGAATTTGCGAAGAAAAAAATTTCGTCGCTAATACGACGTCGCAAAATTTAGCGACGAAATTTTTTCGTGACAAAATTTGTCGCTAAATTGGCACGAAAATTTTTCTTTTGGTCAGTAATTTGCCACGAACTGTATTCGTGACAAAATTCGTCACTAATTATTCGTGACAAAATTCGTCATTAAATATTCGTGGCAAAATTCGTCGCTAATTTGTCACAATTTTTTTTTTGTCAGTAATTTGCAACGAACGTATTTGTGGCAAAATTCGTTGCTAATTTACCACAAAATATTTTGACAAAACGCCACGAACATTGTTCCGCAACGAATTTAGCAACGAATTTTTATTAATTCTTTAGCGACGAGCTCTACGACGAATATTGTTTAGGGACGAAATTAGCGACGAAATTTTATTTTTGCAACGAACTTTTATAATTTGTGATCGTACGATAAAATCATTTCTTTTATTTTTCGATTTTAAATCTAATTAAAAGCAAAATTAATTTCTGAAATTTATATTTAACATTGATTAAGCACTTAATAACATCAAAATATTATAATAATATGAAAATGAAATACATTCATCTACATGTTCCACAAGAATGATATAAATAAAGAACCAAACTGAAAGGTGCATTCTTTCTCTTCAAGGCAGACCTTCTCAATTGAGGAACTATCCGACCAAAAGGCGTTATCAGCCCTGTTATCAGAAAAAAGTTCACAGAATATGTTCTTGGCTTCACCAAGTCTAGCAGCCAAACCTTCTAACCTTCTCCATGTCAACTTAAGTAGCTTCATGTCAATGGTTGCAGGTGAAGTCCCCAGATTTGACATACCAAGACAGTTCTTCTCATCCAAATCATACACTGGTCTTCTGCTTCTAGTAACCTCTTGAAGCAAGTGATCGCCATTAATCTCCACAGAGAGAGTATTTGTTAAACGAACTTGTCCTGATATATGATTAGCTTGGGGCACCTGGATTCGCGCTAAAAAAAGTTTACTGCTCAAAAATAGATACGGTCAACCAAAATGAAAATAACAAGTTGTCACTAATAACACTCAAAAACAAAGGCCACAGAAAACTTGAATCTTTCTTCTGAACAATGGCAACATATTACATAAGGGAGGTAAAAAAGGGAGTCTCAGACAAACCTTCCCCCAACAACCCAAGGAAAAAGCAAAATATGTACAGTTGCTCGAAATAAGTTGCCCTTACCAGCAAAATGAGCATCTCCTTCTGAAGAACGAGGAGCTTGATCTCAACCAATAATCTTCTGTTATTCCCCTGAAATTCTCAAAAATCTGTCTCCCATGACAAGTTGCAACACTCTTTGAGTGAAACTGGAAATCAGAAAGGTCAGTGGTGTGATAAAAAAGACATAGTACATTTGTAACTTGTACAAGAGAGAACCTAAAGCACCTGCACACCATAATGAGGCCAAGTAGAATGCATAATGGCCATAAGGACTTTTTTGCTTCGTACACGATAATTGTGGTGGATGCGTTGTAATTTATCTATCACACCTGTCCAGAGTACGCACCAAGAATCGTGTAAAGCTTTGACTTTAGATTGTCACCTATAAATTTTTGCCCTGTCGCTTTTCATTGAATAGGTCTTTGCCAATCCTTTTAAAAAAGGATCTTTGCAGTGCACTTTCATGAATAGTTTTTGGAAGAGAATATACCAAAGAATGAACAACACTACACCTAAAGCATAAAGCACATGTCCTTAGCTTTTGGATGATAAAACCTAAATTTTTCTCCTCCGAGCCTTGGACACCCAAAATAAAAATCCAACTAAAACAATGATCTGAATTTGAAAACAATCATTCGTTTTGCAAAAAACGACAGCTTCTCAACATCCAGTTCAATGAAAGTCTATATGCATCGCAAGCTAATTGATCTTAATTAATTAGGAAAACATGGACACTAGATGAAAATATGCTTGAGTAGAGGGCCTTGTCTTGCATTGTCCAGAACCCACCTCTAAGTGACTGGTGCAACCAATTCTCTAATCTAGATGCGACAGATTAAGACCTTGACTTACCTGAACAATCTGTTCATTGGTTTGAGAATGTGTGTCAAAACAGCGAAGCATCAAGCCATCTGCCCATTTCTTCTTGTGAAGATTAAGTAGCATTTTTTCCTCCAGTTCATTCTTTCTGTAATTGATGGCAATTGAGTAATAGTGTCTGTTCAGCCCATGGATCAATGCCTAAAAATATGAAGTCAACCCCATGAGATAAGATCAAAACTCAATATTCAAAGAGAGCATTATCTGGTCAGCACTCACTTGGATGGACGGTTTGTTGAGATGTCCAAGGTTGGAGGTTGTTTGCCTAGGTTCTTGGCCAAGCATCATGGTTTGTGGGTTGATCAAACGGAAGGCATCAATCACCACCTTCCCTTTGACACTCTAAATGGGATCCACAACTACTGCAACCGCACGCTGATTTAAAGCCTCAAAACTCTGATTTTATAAGAACACATCACAAGTATAAAGAAGCCTTGTTAACAATTGGATCCAACTGGAAACCTATAACCAATTATAGTCTAGCAAAAAAAAGACATAAGAAACCAATCATACACGAATGCAATAGGCTATGGTCATCAACCAATGGTGAAAATATCTAAAATATCTTGAGTTACAACTCTCCGATTGAATCCCCAAAGCCACAACCTTCCACCAAAACCATCCACACACCACTCCCAATAGAGAAGCTCTTGAGATAATTTAGAGAATAATGCCAGGTATCTAAAGACTAGTAGTCCACTAAATTGGTTCACTGACTGATGCAGCAAAGTTCTACTTAATGTTGAATATGGCCTCCTTGTTCGCAAGCTCAGCTACAGTCTATAACATAACTTAGTAAATCAAATTTACTGTTAACTCTAATTTGAATAGCCCAATGGTTGCCAAACACCCACCTCCATCAGGACCAGAATCTCAGTATACAAGAAAGGAAAAGCATAAAGACGTGAACTCTCATGTCAATGTGTTACTCATGATCAAAGCAATTGATACTTCTACTCAATGTAACTGAGTTCATTTGGCTGTGTTCCAAAACGACATTGTTTTCATAAGGAGGCTGGGGAAAAAACGATATAGGGAAAATAGGTTGATGAATAAAAGAAACTCCATAATTATACTTCTAGACTTGCATGCCATGCTATCATAACGCTAAACTACATCACCAACCAATGGTGGTTGTAAAGCCAAAAAGGCCATACCATTTGTAATTACAATTTGCATGCTCCTTATAAGAATGAAATTTAGAGTAAAAGAGATGACCTGCTGCGTGTTGATGTCCACCCCAGAAAGCCAACATCCAAAGCCAGGATGAAAGCGGTACCAACCTACCACCATCTCTGGTCTGCAATGCAGAACACATAATAAGCATATAAAACATAAACATATGTTGCAACATATACCAATATAGAGAAGAACCCAGACCAAGGATGACCAACATTGACAAAAAAGGGCAGTTAAAATAAAATATAAACCCTGATCACAGGTTACAATTAGAATTTTATACTGGTGCCTATCTGACCTATTGCATGATAGTATTAGATGATAGAATAGCCAGTGTCCAACTCAAGAACCATCCACAAAAATTCAATCCAAGACACACACACAAGTAGAAAATATAAGTTCTACCTATCCAAAGAGGCACATCTTTAGCACAGATATATTGTACTGGTGAACGGTGACCTACGATAAACAGCTAGGACAGAAAATATGGACAAATATTTCTCTTTAAGAGTAATACCCGTGAAACCTCATATCGATTGACCCAGAATTAAGCCTTGAAAAAAAAAAACCGTTGTTTGTCAGTCACTAACTAACATATAATATCTAACACAAGGATCATCACCATTCGGTTTCCAAGTTACTTGAAGCATACAATCTGGCAGATGGAAGATGTATCATATAATATATCAAGCCCATAACGGCCATGACATCCATGAGCTCAGAGAATACTATTCTACCATACCACATCTTAATTGGAGACTATTCAATCATTGTTCAGCGCATAATTAGGTGAGCATTCACATTCATATTACATGAGCATTACCGTGTGTGATAAACAGAGAAACATGAACTTCAACATGCTCGTGATTCTAGATAGGGAAAATCATACCAGTAGGTAACTATGAAGTTCAACATGCAAGTCACTCTGAAAAAAACAACAATCATGCTTTGGTTCTACTAGTAATTAGAATTTTCTCGTAACTAGTGTCTGCATAAAACCTTATCAGCTTATCATAACCCGAAGGCCTTGTAACGCATCTAGTGGCTTGGTGTTATGGAGAACAGAACGGTGCATCCTAGCCAAATGCTGACTCTAACATTTGTTTCTCTGATGATCATAATCTCAATTTCTGTTTTGCTAATTCAAACCCTAGAAATGCTCCAAAAATTGTGATGGAGAGTTCATGATCATGAAGGTGATACTTCCCCAAATTACTCGTATTGATGGACCATTAGCTGTGCACTTTCAACAAAAATCAAACAAGCAAAAGTTCATAAGCAGAAGCTCATGCCAGGCAGTATATTATTCTTGCCATTACACCCCACAAGATGGTTGGATTTCAGCCAAAGTGACTGTGGATATGACAATAAGCAAATATTCAAACACAAATTTTTGGCAAATAGTAATTAGACTATAAAGCTTGATGTTGCCTAGGATGCAGATTCTCCAGGCATATAGACTACAATCTAGCATGAAGATTTTTAAGGAACAGAGACACCACACAAAATGCGAAATGTGGCAAAACCATCTTTACAGGGTAAATCAGCCTCCACACAGCTTGAGACATTGAAATATTTAGGGCAACATAAACAAATTCAAGACAATGAACCCGGAGATAGTCGAAGGGCACGTGCCGTTCAACTCAAAAGAGCATATATACTAAGATAACAAGTAACTCCCCGCAAGAGAACTACTGGGCAAAGAGGGCGGCAGACCCACTGTAAACCATGAGGAAACAATTAAAGCTGGAAACATACCATTGGGAATGTCCTTAAGCTGTATACCACGGCCCTGAAATACCAGCAAGCCATTAATCCCTTGGAAAAAAAGATTAAAAAAGAGAGTCCAAGCGTGCCAGTACCTTTTCGATGGAGAAGCCCTTGCTGGAGGGCGTCCTGACGAGGGCAGGAGCGGAATACCGCTCCACCGATGTCCTTTCTCTGGTGGGCCGCTCGATTCCGGGCGTCACGCTCGATTTCCTCCTCCTCTTGGGCAAGCCCTGTTTCTCCTCGGAGCTCCCTCCTTTCGGATTCTCCTCGCTCTCCTTCTCTTTCGGGGCGTCGTCCCCGTCGTCATCTTCGGCCGAGGCCTCCTCGTCGGAAGCCTCGGCCTTCCCCTCCTCCAGAGCTGCGATCTCTCGGTCCTCTTGATCTGCCTCCTCCACCTTTGATTTCTCGGGGAGCTCCTCCTTGCCCTCGACGGGGGGAGGAGCCGCCGCCCCTTGGGGCTCCGCGGCCTCTAGGGCTCCGGAGGCCATGGGCAAGGAGGAGTCGCAGGAGGAAGCGCGGGTGGGGGAAGGGGGTACCAAAAACCCTTAGCGAGCGCGAGAGGTTTGGGGGTGTGGGGGAGAGGGAAAGAAGCAGAAGGAGAAGCGGAAGCAGATCTGATCTGATCTGATCGAGACAAACGAAAGAGGGAGAGAGAGAGAGAGAGGGAGAACAGCGAGCGCGGGAGGAATCTGAGGAATCAGGAGAGAGAGAGAAAGAGAGAATGAGGGCGGGCAAATTGGGAGTGAGGGCGGGCAAATTGCGACGGACAAGGAAGTTGGTCGCTAAAATTTGTGACCGACAAAAACGTCGGCCGCAAAATTTGCGACGGACAAAAACGTTCATCGCTAATTTTTCGTGGCTCAATTTACTTTTTGTAGTGTAATTTTGGAATAGATTTTAGTCCATGGCTAATTAGCAACGGATTTTAATCCGTGGCTAAATAATCACGGATTTAGCTACGAAAATAAAAAATAGTCGGGAAAGTGAAGCAAGAGTTTATTTTCGTCGCTAATTAGCCACGGATTTATCAACGAAAATAAAAATAGTCGGAAAAATACCGCAAGAGTTTAATTCCGTCGCTAGTTAGCCACGGATTCAAATCCATCACTGATTTGCGACGGAATTAGCGACGGCGACGACCTTTCATATTAACCATTCATCAAATAAAAAAATTTCCAACGAATTCAGTTTGTCGCCAATTAGCGACGACCTTTTAACAATTCAACAAATAAAAATGTCACAAATGTCGTCGCTAATTTTGTCAATTAGTAACGATCCAAATCCAATGGAAAATAAAATATCACAAATGTCATCGCACAACTTCTATTTGACTTGTCGCCATTTAGCGACAACCTATTACGTTAACAATAATAATAATCAACAACAACAACAATAATAATTATGACAACAACAATAAACACATGTCGCAATAATAATAATAATAATAATAATTACACATAATTAATAAAAAGTCTCAAAAATCATAATCTCCATCTTCATCTTCGTCTTCGTCTTCGCCTTCGCCTTCGCCTTCGCCTTCGTCTTGATCTTCATCTTCTTCATGAGCGTCATCTTCATCCTCTATCTCAAAATTAGATTCTGCAACACCTTCTAAATTTCATTCACAAATTTCGGTTGGATCCAAATCTATCATTGCTCCACACGGATCTCGTAATGTTGAAATGTTATATTCTTCAGTTTCAACCATGTTATAAACTTTCTCTTGTTGTTATGCTGTATCATTCCAATGTTCCTCGATTTTTTCTCGTGCTTTGGTTTTACATACAGCCCACCAATAAGCTTTGTCACGTTTCAAACTAGAATATGATGCATAATATACATGAATTGCTTGTTGTGTCAAGACAAATGGTCCATATTTCATATACATTTTCTTGTGATTTATTTCAACCAAATTAAACTTCGTATGCACCTTCATTCGTCGCAAATTCCGTCGCAAATTAGCGACGAATTTATTTTTCGTCGCAAAAATAGCGACGAATTTTTTTTTCGTCGCTAATTCCATCGCAAATTAGTTGCGGACAATTTTTCGTCGCAAATTCCGTTCGCAAATTAGTAACGAATTTTTTTTCGTCGCAAATTTCATCGCGAATTAGCGACGAATAATTTTTCATCGCTAATTTTCCAGGGCTAAATCCTTATTTTTTGTAGTGGGTTCACGCTTTGTTTTGGTTAAGAATAACATTTGACTATTAAATGAAGGCACTAATATTTATACAATATTTTTTTATTTCGGTAACTTGTCCTTGTCACCGAGCCATATTTACCATTAGGAGTTCTTTGAAAAAAAATTCTTGACTTTTTTGGGCGTAAAACCATTTGAGTTCACAAAAACGAAACTAGAAAAAATTTTGTATGATAATCCTCAATATGAAATATATATATTGGTATTTCATAAGGTAGTTCAAACGCTATTATAGCACGGTTCAAATACTATTCAATTATTATCTCGTAAATGTTTACATATCCTAAATTTGCAGTAGGCTAATATTGCGTTTGTCTATACATACATGAGTTTCTAGATGCACCATTTCTCACAAGTTTGTCAGTCCAGCGGCTTGTCAACGATCACGTTATTCGAGGCGGAGTAAATCCAAGCCAAATCACATGTACGCACAAATTTTAAAAATGCTTCGCATTAAAGACTAGAAGAGTACAAAGAAAGATTCTTGATTTCAAAACCCAATATCTTTGCACATGCTACCACCACAGATTTCATAGCGCCTTTTTTTTATAATGACAAGAAATCAATTAACTAATTAATTAGTGTCCAGTTCACGAAGCTGGTATGCAGTCTTCAGTCAAAATAAGTCCATATGTTCATAACTATTAAGTATCTTGGTCCATACTTAAGCACCATATTTTTCCAGAGTTCTACTATTATTAATAAGTCCAATATTTTTTTGCTGGTACACTTGATCCTGCGTGTAATTATATATCTCTTGGGTGGGCCATGAGGTCGATTATTATATAGCAAGGAAAAAACAACTTCTCAGAGGTTGGGAATGAAAATTTCGAGGAAGCCAGCAAAGTTGTTTTTATCACAGAGCTCATGTTTTTCCAAAGTTGCTTGTCGGTTTGTGCAATGATCGAGTCTACTAGGACGAGTACTGATCTATAATATTCGCTACTTTTGTCGGCCATAGGGAAGCTTGTGTCCCTCTGACCATCCGAATAAAGCAGTGGTACGCGGTCTTCGGTGAAAATAAGTCCATGTGTTCACACCTTTAGATGTCTCGGTCATAGTAAAAAAAAGAAGTCATGCATCTATGTCTTCTTAGTACAAGAATAAATCAAGAAGATCAAGTGGTAATGAACAAACTACCCAAAAACACTGTATCGGATCTTAAGTTAATAGTCATTGCTGATTGTCGAACTCCATCATCCAATGGCTTCTTCATCAAAAGGATTTACGACGTCTTCTTGAGTTTCAGAGGTGCAGACTTGCGCAACAACTTTCTCAGTCATCTCTACAAAGCTTTAGACCAGAATGGAATATATACTTTTGTTGATAGCGAGGAGATGAGGAAGGGAGACGAAATATCACCAACGCTTATGAAGGCCATCGAGCAATCATGCATTGCAATCATCGTTTTCTCGGAGGATTATGCTTACTCGCGATGGTGCTTGGAAGAGGTGGCAAAGATTATGGAGTGCAAGGAACAAAAGGACCTCACTGTTCTACCAGTTTTTTATAAAGTGGATCCAAGAGAAGTGAGAAGGGGGAGAGAGAGTTATGGGAGAGCTCTAGCTAAGCATGAGTCCAAGTTCGGAAAGGATTCGGAGGAAGTGAAGAGATGGAAGAAAGCTCTTTTCAACGTGGGTAGCTTATCCGGATGGCATTTGAACGATGGGTAAGTTGAGTGGAGTTCATATTTTGCGCAAGAAACCAATCTTTACAAAGTATAAAGACTGTTTGTAAAAAAGAATAAATGAATCGACACACATGATGTCAACTATAATATGTTAATACTTGATCTACCAATGGATAAAATGTTAAGTAGTGTTATTGCACCTACCCCATTTCTTTGGAAGGAGTAAGAAAGCTCGCAAGGTCAGTTACAAGATAATTAGTGTGTATAGGCCATGTAAGGCAATGACACGGTGCTTTAGGGTATTTAATAGTTTTCAAAGTCCTAAATAGCTCTTTTTGATGAAGTGTATAGATATATCACATATAAAAGTCAAAAGCAAAACTAAGTAAATCGTCATATATAAATCAAAAGAGCATGAATCACTTGGATGACTAAAAGTTGAACCCCGGAATGGTTGTTTTGATTGGTGTGGAGCTCTTGGAGTTCTAATTCAACTAGGTGGATATATATATCTATAATCTGAAAATGTGATGCATTGCTTTATCATTATTAGCTTATGATTGCTCATATGATGCTCCAACTTCTTTTTCTGTTTTTGACAGAGATGAGTCAAAGCTTATACAAAAAATTGTGAAGGAGATCTCTAATCACCTAGACCGAAAACCTTTGCATGTTGCTAAGCACCCGGTTGGGATAGATTCCCAAGTGATTAAGTTGAAATCGACGTTAAATCTGGAGTCTGATGATGGTATTCTCATGGCGGGATTATGGGGACAGGGAGGTATAGGGAAGACAAGTTTAGCAAAAGCTCTTTACAATGCTATATTTAGACAATTTGAGGGTTCATGTTTTCTGGCAAATGTTCGAGAAACTTCAAAAGGTAGCACGGGTCTAGTTAATTTGCAAGAAATATTACTAAAAGATATATTATTACTAAAAAAAAATTTACAAGTGTCCAACGTCGATGAAGGTATTAATATAATACAACACAGACTTGGTTGCAAGAAAGTTCTCCTCATCCTTGATGACGTCGATGACTTGCGCCAATTAAATGCTTTAGCAGGAGAAGGCAAGTGGTTTGGTAATGAGAGTAGGATCATTATTACCACAAGAGAAACATTTGCTAACTTGTCACGGGATAAATCAAGATCATGTGTATGAAGTTGAAGCACTAGATGACAATCAAGCTCATGAGCTGCTTTGTAAGCATGCTTTTCAGAAGCACCAAATCAAAACAGATCTAGTGGATAGTGCTCTGAATTATTGTAAAGGCCTCCCTTTAGCGCTTGAGGTGTTGGGTTCCTTATTATGTGGTACATCGGAAGACATATGGGAAAGTACACTAATGAAACTTTCTAGGATTCCTAACAAAACCATTAATAATGTGCTCAAAATGAGTTACGATGGACTAGATGAAAATGAGAAAGAGATCTTTCTCCACATTGCTTGCTTCTTTAAGGGGCAGGAAAGAGAGTATACAAACAAGGTTCTCAACAGTTGCGATCTCCAGACAGCTGTAGGATTCGAAATTCTTATTAAGAGGTCCTTGATAAGAATTGAGACCAAAATCCTAGAAATGCATGACTTAATTCAATTGATGGGTATGGATATTGTGAAACAAGAATGTCGCGATGATCCCGGAAGACGCACTAGGCTATGGCTATATGATGATGTTGTTGATGTTTTGTCACGTGACATGGCAAGACCTGCGAACACGATCAAAATTGTGCTTCTTATCTTTGACTTTAATTACTAAAAATGCATAACCTAAATAATCTTGTATGTACAGGGAGATTGTGCTGGAAAAGCCATAGAGTTGGAGCTACCTGAGCCGACAGACATGTATATCGGTCCTGATGCTTTTACAAAAATGAGAAGGTTGAGATTACTCATCATGCACAATGTGCATAATGCTTTCCAAGGTCCTTTATGTCTTTCTCATGAGCTTAGATGGTTTGAATGGCCTGGATGTGCTCCCTCCGTTCCAGAATTTTCCTCTGGTCGAAATAAATTAGTGGGATTTGATGTGAGCAAAAGCAGCATCACAGTAGTGCTAAAACAATTTACGGTGAGGATTTACCTACATAGACCTTTTTATTATTTATTTCATTTGTATGTGTATATGCTTGTTATGTGTACTTGTACACAAAAGGAAGTGGTATTCCTATGTTTTAGAAATCACTTCTCTATTTTCTTTCAAAATGACCCTAATAACTTGCTGTTTGAAATATTTTTACATGCATCAAAATTGGCATTTGAAAAATTAAGCTAAATAACTTTATTAGAAATATGTAATGGAAACATTTGTTGTTAAAATAGACGGAACGAAGGAACTTGTCGAAAGAGAAAAATATTTCAAAATTTGAAAGTTTTTATGAAGGTCATTGGATCATAAGAAAATTCAAATTTTAATTTTAATCACGTGAGAGATTAAATAGAATAACCAACTTCATGTATTTGTCCATGGGTATAATATCTGTGATATAAGTTATTGAGGATAATTGATGAAAGGAATAACAAAATATTAAAATCACTTTAAAATGTTTACCAAAGTTTGTTTTGCTGTTTTTGCAGGACTTCCCAAATATGAAGTACATGAATTTAAGTGAATGTGAGATGCTGATTAGTATGCCCGACCTCTCATGTGCTCCAAATCTCGAGGAATTGAATCTCGAGAATTGCAAAAATTTGGTAGAAGCACACGAGTCTATTGCATATCATGACAATTTACAGGTTTTGACTTTAAAGGGGTGCTCTGAACTTAGCGTTTTCCCAAATGAGCTCAAGTCGAGAAATCTTCGAGCTCTCCATCTTGCAAATTGCACAAAACTTGGAAGGTTCCCTGATATTCCACAAAAATTAGGCCTAAAAGAGCTTGCTTTACAAGGGACCGCTATTAGAGAACTTCCTACATCAATAGAAAATCTAGTCTCTTTGGAGAGAATGAATGTAGGTGATTGCAAGAACCTCGTAAGTCTTCCGTCTAGCATTTACAAGTTACAAAACATTGAAAAGTTGATTCTTGAGGGTTGCACAAAATTATTCGAGTTTCCAAAGTACGAGGATTTAGCTGATCCACACATGAAGACTGGACTTCCAAAGTTACTCTACTTGAACCTTAGGGGATGTAATCTGTCCGAAGTAAAATTTCTTGAGAATCTTTCATGTTTTCCCTTGTTGGATTGTTTAGTTCTGGCGGAGAACAAAATTACTAGCCTTCCCACATCCATCAATAAGCGTGATAGTTTGACCTTTTTGGAAGTTCAAGATTGCCATCAATTACAAGAGATTCTTGAGCTTCCACCATTTTTGGATTTTTTGGGGGCGGTTAATTGCGAATCTCTGCAAAAGATTGGAAAATTTACTTCATCTCATGATTTTGTCCGAAGAGTGTTTACCATGGATCATATTTTCTCACGTAACCAGGTTAGATTCTCTCTCTCTCTCTCTCTCTCTCATGCGCTCATTCATGTGGAGTATGTGCGTGCTGTAGTGTGTGCTTGTATATTGCAAAATCAGAAAACGCAAGATTTGAGGCTTAAGAAAAGGGCAGCTACCGTACTTTTATGGGAATGATTTCTATCGCATGAGACCTGTACATTAATGCAAGCATGGATCAGTGGATCTCTACTCATTTTAGAGCTCTAGTTCGAAATGGATTGCTTACTAAACTCCAATTGAATTCATTTATTTGGTTATGAATAACAAATTTGGGTACATTCTAACGGTTTTCTTAAAACAGAATAGTGGTGGTTTCTTTGCCTCGCTCCCTGGAGGAGATATGCCAAAGTGGGTCATCCCTGTTAAAGAGGATTTCATATCTTTCATGGCTTCAAAGGACTTGTATGACAAATTTCTTGGATTTGCTCTCTGTGCCATTGTTAAAACTGATAACGAGACAAAGCAACACTCAGCTAAGATTACACTTAGTGTTAACGGCAAACGTCGGCTAACCATCGAAAATATTTTCGGATTGTTGGATTCGGATCATATCTGGTTTAGCTATATACCTTCTAAACCATGGGGAGTAGTCGATTTTGATCAAATTGAGGGGAGTTATGCACAATTTCACCTTGCAATATCCGGCAAAATCATAAAAAAGTTGGGATTCCGAATAATATGCAAGCAATTAGATGACGATTTAGAGGGTGTGCTTCAAGACAATCAGCTAATTGATTCAGCTTTCCTCTACGAGGTTAGTCACGACTCAACAGATTCAGAAGCCGAGAGTTCACTAGTTCATACTGAAACAGATTTGCAAAAAGACTCGGAAGATTGTCAAATAAGCACCAAGAAGTATAGTCAAATAGCGCCAAAGAGAAATCATAATCCTATTCTCGCTCAAGGCATACGAACCAAGACTGTGTTGACTTCCAATTCGATTGGCGGAGATGAGTACGGTGGCGTTGTTGGCTTACAGCTTTTGTTGTAAGAATGATGGAAACTTGCCAACGAAGCAATTCGCAGGTAAGTGAACTCAGCTGATCTTGATTAAAATGCCTTCTTTCTTCTTGTTCCTTCGTGTTTTCCTTTCTCAGAAAAACCTGTAACACGCTGTTAGTACCTACTTTTGCCCAAGTTAACTTTACATCCTAACTAAAATCCTGTAATTCTTTCTTCTCTTTTGATCACTTTTCTTTGTATTTAGTTTTTCTCTCCTCTTTTTGGGGGATCCTCTTTTCTCCGCCATAGGCAAACTTCGGACTCCACCGATGCCACTTTCAACGTCACGGCTGCTCCTCTTCCATCCGACACCACCGAGCCCTGACGAATGTAAGATCGCCACCTGCCGATGGAGGCGATGAATAGAAGAAGAAGTTCGTCTCCCTAAAACAGAGTCTTTATCGAAGCCACGGCGACGGAGGCCGGCGAGCGGAGGCGACGGACTACCACCGCCGTCCGAATCAATGGATACTGATGACGTTGCTTCGGGTGAACCATTCTCTTCTGAGGTTTTGGGCTTTGTTCAGCTTGCTATGGATCAGGTAAAGCCTGGCACATCCGAATTGTATTAGTTGATGTGATACTTGAGCTGGATTTTGAATTCGATTCGTTTGGTGCTGCTATTGCGTGGGGACCCGATTAATGTGTCGTTGAATTTGTTTGAGAGATGTTGAACTAGCGTTTCTTTGTAAGGTTTGTCTGTGGATGATTGGTAGTGAATTCATTGGTAATCGACGTTAGACGCTGCAAAATCCGTGACAATCTCTAGAATGTATAGCTTTTCTTGAGAGAGAGAGAGAGATTTGGGGGTGCTTTTGACGTGTCTGGGAAATGTAGTATGTACCTATCATAAAGATGTGCAGCTGGTGACAACTTTGCCAGGACAATTGAATTTTGAGAAACTTCGATCACTAGGATAGGACTCTGTGGCTAAGTTTTGTCAGGCACTTGAAGAGGCGAAACTATAGAGGGATGAAGAAGTTGCAGTGAGATGGCAAGCCACCACGAAGTATTGCTTGACAGTCGAGTCATTTTACCCCTTTTTGACTTTGGCAACTGGGGAGAAATAAAACCAATTCTAGTTAGGGCACGACAGTAATATGAACATCGGCTTGTGCCCATGGATAACTGGTTAGGTGGTTATTTACTCTCGCCCTGTGGACTGTTGATATGAAAAAGAAAAGAATCATGAGAAACACGGTGTTTGCATCAATTGTTCTGTTGAATAGAGACAAAAGCACACGAAGCTGATTGTCAATTCTGATTTCTGTGGCCTTTGCAACAGTTTAAAGTTCTCTTTTTATCCTTATGTTCCACAGCGTTTATGAAGGAAATTGAGCTACAAACTAAAACTCCTGGAAGCTTCTTGAATGTTTTAGTGGAACCTGATTAATGAAAGATAAACTTCTGAGGTACCAATAATAAGATGCACTGGAATGAGCAGCATGTAGTTTCTCAAATTCGTTGCTGTCTAAGTGTTAGGTGGGATTTACATCTGAATTACAGGATGAGTATGTACTAATAATCATTACTTGGAAATTTGTGACCAGTATATTATACAGGACCTGCAAGATATTGATGATATAGCTATGAGACATGGATTCATTCCATTAGTAGCTGCATACTGATACTGAAATATTTCTACTGCTGGCAACTTGATGCTGATTTCCCCTTGAATTGCCTGTATGCACGTACGAGGGAAATTCAAACTCTTATACTCATATTTTTCCTCCGAACAAGTAACAAGACCAATTTGCTTTTCTTATATATGGCAAAGCTTGCTTAGGACAGCTTTGAAGTTCCAGTTGGGTAAGAAACAGATTTTCAGTAACCAGGTGCATCTCAGATATGCTACTTTATTTTCTAATTAAGATGATTAGTATTTTCAGTCCTAATTAATAAATGATTTCACGTTGTACTTTTTTTAAATTATACTTTGATTGAACAGCTGTGTGATTGTTGAGGAAGGGCACCTTATTGCGGCAGGAAGAAACAGGACTAATGAGACACAGAATGTATGTCTATCATTGCTTCTCCACCCCTTTATATAAATTTTGGCCGGCAGCACTTTGTTGTTGTTCTGAATTGATACCCTCACATTATCCACTCGTAGTTATTGTTGATCTTTTTTGTGTTTCTGCCTTTAATGTTTCTTTAATATATGATAAAATAGTATATCTGAACAAATCTGCTAAAAAGTGGAATTTTCTGTGCATTATTAGTCTGTAAATGGTTTTGTTCCCATTATTCTTTCATAAAATATGACTAAAGCTAACAATAGCAAGAATCTTGGTTTACTATGTACAATGTTTCATGTTTCTCGTTTGCCACTGTGCTCTGTCTGAATTTTGGACCAAGAACAGTCAAAGAAAAAGGTTCAATGAGGAGAGAGAAAATTGGGGAATGACATTTATGTTTTTGAAAGATATAAAGCCGTTGCAAGCTGCTGGACCAGAATGTTGACTGCTCATGGATTGTGTTGTATTGCATGCTTGAATATGTTAATGAGTACTGATTGCCTAAAACAGATTATAAATTTAGAGTACTGATTGCCTAAAACAGATTATAAATTTATACATTATTCTGAGTACATGTTTATTCTTTACATTACAGGAGAGTGAGTTGTTATCGTGGCTTCACCTCTCTTGATTAAAAAGATGTAGAGAGAGATGCAAAATTCTAAAGTTATAGGAAGCGAGTTAAGAGACTTTGCAAAATCTCAGGGATAGGGAGGATAACTGCAATTTCACATAAAATTTCAAAGAATATCACGCTTGAGTACTAGAAATTAGATCGAATACCTAATAGTAAGGATAATGCTCTTCAAACAATGTCCACACCTTCACATTGAAGAGCAACAAGAGTTGTCCATGCTTCACGCATAAGATCCTCTCTTAGACTCTTAGTGTTGTGGGTATTTGAAGAAAGAACTGAAATTCCGGATAAGGTGTGTTGATGAATCTGTCTTAAAGAGAGTGGTTCTTCCAATTGGAGTCATGGTCTAATGCAATTGGCTCTGATGAAAATCCTGTCCCTAGGATACAATGTACACACTGTAATTTTCCTCACTTAGTCTGCAGACCGAGCAAAGGCTGAACATAATTCAAGCCTTGAAAGTATAGTCAACATGAAGCAGGAACGAAAGAGGCGATTTGAAGATGAAATAGATTTGGAATCAAATGTTAAGCAAGAGTAAAAAATAAATAAACGTGAAGGAGAAAACATTTTTCATGAAATGCATTTCCTAAGTTTATGTTGATACTACAATAAGAGCAACTTTCTCTCTACAAAGCTCCTAAGTTTGATACGCTTTCTTTATTTTTCTCCTTGCGCATTCCTAGGCAACAAGACATGCAGAAATGGAAGCACTTGACGTTCTTTTTGAAAAGTGGCGGAGGACTAGATTTTCGTCTGCAGAAGTTGCAGAGAGGTTTTCAACATGCTCTCTTTATGTGACATGTGAACCATGCATAATGTGTGCAGCAGCATTATCGATCATTGGTACATCTGTTGATCATACTGAAATAAAACTAAACTTTCATAAAATTTGATTAGTCATAAATGATTAGATGACTCTTAGCCATTTTTATAAAAAATGGCTGTGCAAATGATAAATTTGGAGGCTATGGTTCTATACTGCCGATGCATTCAAGTAGCTCTGAGGTATCCATTAGGTCAGTTTCTGAACTTGCTTTTGTTGCTGATTTGGTATCTACGTAGCTCCACTTTGAAATTGTGACATATGATATTTGACAACTAAAGCTTACCACAGGTTTATGACTCCTTATGTTTATTACTGATGGATGTGGTTTCGTAGTAATTCTGCTTGTTGTCGCACTTTGAATATTGCGACACATAACAATGAAAATAAATGGAGGTTTGTGGAAACTAATTTTTCACCTTTTCTGTCCTTTTCCAAGTCTAAATGGAAGAAAGTCGAGTTTCCTTTTCTTTTTTTTTTAATTCTATGCAACTTGTTAGACATTTCCTTTTTTGTTTTGCCCTAAACATTTACTGTTCTGGGAAGTACTACAAGTTAAGGCAACATTAGTTTGTTCTTTCCATTTCTCTTTCCCCCCCTGTTTCTTCATCTCATTTTCCTCGCTTTTTTCCATTGCAGTGAGATTCTTCGATGTCTTTAATGTTATCAAGTTTAAAGCGGGAAATATAGCATCTTCAAAGAAATATGATTTAACTATGAGGAACTTATGCTTTCTGATATGTCATGGGCAATGTACTTAATAAAGAAATCTCTTTTTCTTGTTTATTAGTAGCAATTGTCTCCTCTTGCATACATCAGGGCATGTGCTTGGTAAATTGTGGTGTATGGCATGTATTTCCATTATGATTTTTCATCTGTCTGATGCTGCCATGATCTAACATTTCATGTTTCCTGAGATTGTCCAGAAGTCATCAATTTTTTACTCAGACTTTGTTGACATAAAAGCCAAAAACGTAATGAAATAAGATCTGTTTCATTGTGATTTGAGCAGTACATGGAGTAGCTAATGTAGATTACAGACAATGTCTTTCTGTTGAATTATCAGTTTTGAAAGAAGACACTCAAGTACGGGGAGGAGGGGAGAAGGGGGGGGGGGGGGGGGGGGGCCCCCCGGGGGGTGTTGGAGGAGCAAGAGTATGAGTAAAAAATTTTAGGGGGGAAAAAATAAGCCATGAAAATTTTAGAGCAAGAGATTGATACATATGCTGCTCTTGATAATCTGGTTATAAGGAAGAAGAAAGAGTATGATTATGAGTGAAAAATTTTAGGGGGAAAAAAATAAGCCATGAAAACTCTGACTTTTAAAGCAAGAAGTTGATACTTATGCTGCTCTTAAGAGTCCGATTAGAAGTCAAAAGTATTGTGGGAAATACGAACTAGCTCATTGCCTTTCTGAATAGGACATCAAGCAAGAGGACGCATCTTTCAGATAAAGTACCACCTTGCTCAATTTCCACCGCGTGGAGCTCAAAAACTAGCCCTAATCATTGCATAGTTTCATGTTAGAGAGAATGAGACTGTTGTTATAACGGTGAGCATGGTTCATATGCAATGTTTGGAAGATGTAGCTAATTGAAACCCATCCTAGCCAGTATTAGTATACAAGTCATTTGCAAAACTTCTCTCTATCAGATTCCCCTTGCCAATATCTCTCTGAAGAGAACTTGCCATCCATGTTAAAAGCCCCAAAGTATCCCCTGTTTACAGCTATTGTTTGTTCTCCAAGTACATAGGTTACACAGAGATAATTTACTTGCCTGAAAACCTATTTCCTGGAGTACAGACATTTCTTAAAATTGATATTCTTAGGACCTAAGCGTAAACTTCCTATGTTGAGCACATTCCTTTATTGGTGAACTTGTTTTTGCTTAGATGGTACCTTCTTTTGCAAAGTGCTTTCATTAGTCTGCTAAATTATATCTTGCTTGATATTTGGACATGTTTTGCAAATGGAATCTGTCATTGGGTGGTTTTCACATAAATTTCATCTATGTTTCCCCTTTCATGTGTCTACCTGATTTATGAATGTTTCCAACTTTTTTCTTGTTTCTCTTGCAGTAATGGAAATTCTGGATCAAAGTGTTTCATATGTTGTGGAGGTATAATGGCATCAGAAGCAATTTCTCTTCTTCAAGATTTTTGTGAATGAGGAAACCTAGATGGTATGAACGACAATCAACCATTTTAACCAGATGAACTGTCTGTTCAAAAGAATGTTATAATCTTGTAGTTAGCAGCTATTTACATTGGATAACCTAAGGGAAATGATCGTTCTTTTTCAATGGACCTATAATTATATGCACTCTTTAAGAGGCCTTTATGAGCATAATAGAGCAATTCAACCTTACGAACCAAAGTTTACTTTATCAATCAATGAACTTGAGCATTATGCCTGCTAGCAACATCTCCCTGAAGGACCCCTCCGAATAAAGCTCTTTCAAAATCTAATGCTATGGTCTTTCTAGCACTCATCCCCATTCATATTGATTGAGAAGAATTCAGGAAGCCTCATTTTAATTCTACTTTTCAATCAATTCTCTCAACCAGCTAGAGAGAACTGTAGCTGGGGCTTTCCGTAATTTTGGAAATCTTGCTGTACAACTCTCTCTCTCTCTCTCTCTCTCTCTCTCGTCCATAAGTAAATGGTTTTTTTCAGTAAAATATGTTGTTGTACCCTTGGTCTGGGGAATTATCTACCCACATTCCAGGTAAATAAAACTGGCCCAGTGGAATTTTTTGTAATTATATAAAGGATAATGAAATTGGTAGCATAGAATTAATGGGTCGTTGGCTGCATAAGAACCCATTCAGAAGTTTGACACATCAAGGATAAGGTGCACATCTTGAGATGGTGGGTACACTTGTCCAGACCAACACTAAGTATAGTTGCTTCAGTGGAGTGGTGTTCAGCCATGTAATGGTTGCTATGACTAGGCATAGAACTTGCCTAGTAAACAAAAAGGTAGAGTTTCAGAAACCCAGTCTTTTCTTTTGGCCAATTTTCAGATGCCCTGTTTATCAAATCTAGCTTTTCTCTAGACTGGGTATTCTTAGCCGGATTGCCATCTGAGAAATGGAACATCATGTCCTTTGTTTAGAGATGAAGTTAGTTGATAATCTGTTGGTTAGACTCTGTTAGGAGAAGTATCTTCGTCCTTGATCCCTATCGTGAATTACTAAACCTATAGCGTTCTTGGTCGAGCAAATTCTCGAATTTGAGCTCTTCAGTTGCAAATATTTCAAGAGACTGATCAGATTATAACCTTTTCATGCTTCTGAGATAGTTAGTAAGCTTTAGAAACTCATACATACAGAAAAGATGGCCTTGAAATAATTTGTCTACGCAATGATAAAATGAATTTCGTTTTCTTCTCTGTTTCATAGAACCCTGTAACATGACTATCATTTCTCTTCGCCATTTTTCCATCTTTTTCTATTTATTTGCTGTTTATGACATTGTGGAATTTATGATTTGTTTAAGTATTATAAATATATGCTGAATGCTAATATTTGGATTTCAGCTCCAAAGCCTCACAAGTCTCGCGTTACTCAAGCTTCTCATTAGATCTGCATGCATTGATTCTTCCTGTTGAATCCTCTCATGGCTTTGCATGACTAGGTAAGACCTTTGGATTAGGATTATTGCTTCTCTGAACATCCTGGACATCCTGTATGGTATTATGATGCAACTCTGCTGCATATTGAATGATTCAGTTACTGGTGCATAGAACAAGTGGGCTGCATGGTGTGACCTTCTAGAGTATAGCCTGTTAAAAGGGAATGGCACGGATTAGGGCACTGTGCAATTTTTCTTGCTGTGGCAGCAGGAAGTGATGCTCATGCTAAGATTAATAGTACCTCTAGCTATAGATTTCCTTGTATCATAGTAGTCAATCACAACAAGGATGCTATAAAGGTCTTCAAGATGAAGTAAGACAACATCCTTGCTCTTCATTCTTAATTCTTGGTTTATTCTGAAAATATTATTCATTGTTCTTATTCCTGTTAGTTAATCTCTTCATTTGACTATAACCCAAGTCAAACTTGCTGTTGAAGGTAGTTTTCATTCTTGAGGTGAACTCATCGCAAAATTACTTTTGAACTATAGTTTTCTAACTCTTTGTATTCTACATGTAAAGCGCAAATCTGGATGTGACATCTCATTGGTGCTGATTCTAGCATAATAAGATTCTCTCCCCTTTGTGTGTGATGCCAGAAACAACTAATTATTTTGTTTCGAGATCTTACAAAATTTAATAATTACAATGCATTCAGACAGCCCTTTAAGTATAGAGATCTGTGTCGATATTATTTATGATTATTCACATTCTTTTTCATGGCAAGAGGATGTTGTTAGACATTTAGCATACCAAAAGTGTTCAAAATTCAGTGCACTCTTACTGACAATGCATGTGCCATTTTCTGCTTTTCCAATCACAGAATTTCATCAAGGGACCCACGAAAGGAAGCGTGATGCTTGTCCGGATCTTGCCCGGATGTTCATGTGCTTACTGAGGGTTGCAGCTGTGATCAGAAGTCCATTTCATGCTTTAACTTGATAATAAGATTGTTAAGATAATTTACGGCATAAACTGTGTCGGCATCACTTTTCTGAGGCTAATGTTTGTCATCAACATATCCAATAATCGAGCTTACTTTTTGTTCTAGCTTTTCGAACTTTGAGTTATTCTTGATGTGTTCTTGATGTGTCTGAGCTCCAGAGTTCTGAACTATATCATGTGTAACAGTCTGAATTTTCGATCCTTTTTCCCGGGATTTAGGAAATGAATTTGACCAATGTGCTATAGTGAGATCTCACCCGGGAACCGCGCATTCTCGGGATGCTAACCTTAGGGGTAGGGCTATTACGGGATTGAGTTCGCACGACCAAAGAACTCGACCTGGGTTCGATCTTTGACTATATGGATTGACGAGGAAATGTTTTGAGCCAACCGAGACCGGTCTATTTGATTGATCGTGTCCAGAAGGGCACTAGTGACAGACCCTCGCAATTATATGACGATCGAGGTCGCCTTGATTCGAGCAAACTTAAACGTGATTTGACTTAGTGTCGGTCACGGGTCGAGAGCGCGTAATCCTAATGAGCCACCCGTTAGCAAGAGATAAGCTAAAGTCGCGATTGGTCAATTTTAGTCATTTCTTGGAATTCGGGCCCGGGAATCGAGAATTTTGAAAGTGACAATTTTGAGCGGCCGATGACGTTTTCGGCTTGGCCAACCTTGGGGCCACCCATTTCTGCAAAAAAATAGATTTCGGTCTGGGGCCGGAAAAATTACGGTTTTGCCCCTGTGGACACCGATGTTGGATTTTGAGGCCGTTTGAGGTTATTTTTCGAGGCCGATGCCGTTTTTGGGTGGCCACGCATATCTGGAGTGGTTTCGGACGAAAATTGGAATTTTGGCTCGGAAGTGAAAAATAATAATATTTTATTCCCGGAACTTCGCAATCGATTTTCGAGGGCTTAGAAAGTGAATTTCGCGATTCCGACACCACATTATGTTGGCCACGCACATATGGAACGCGTATGTGCGAAAATTGGAATTTCGCCTGGGACCGGAAAATTACCATTTTGCCCCTGGGCTAATTTTTAGGTCCGAATTTTTTGGATAAATTGGGATAATTATGGATAAATATCAGCTGCATCCTTGGGGACCATTGACCCTTTTGCCCCTCTCTTTTTAGATAAGAATGAATAGGAATCATTTAATTAGGGGCATTTTAGTCCTTTTACCTAAGCTTGACACATGGCACCCCTAATTAAATTATTTGACCAAGTTGGCTGATCTCTCTCTCTCCTCACTCACTCTCACGTGCAGACCAGCCCTCTTCAGAAATTTTCTCCCCATTTTCCCACCTTTTCTCTCCACTTTCTCTCCATTTTCCTTCATTTTCTCTCTCGCCGGAGTTTCGCCGGAGCCACGCCGGCCAGCCGTTCCACCTTCCCGCTCTAGCCGAGTTAGTCTAGAGTCCGGTAAGTCGCGATCTAATCCCTATTTAGGACGTCGGGTATTTTCGGACTCGTTCGGGTATGGTTTAGAGGATTTAGAGGGTGATTAAGGTATTGATCATGATTATTGGTGGTTAATCATGGCTATTGGTGGCTGACTGTTAGTGGTTGTTGCGGGTTGGATTAGACGTCGGGAAATGAGTTTTGGCTGTTGGAATTCGGTAGAAATCGATTCGGGCTTGAATCCGTGAGGTTCGGGGTGAATCGCGGATTCGCGGTTACTGTACCCACCCGGTTTGCTATTTTTGTAGAAAATTTTGAGGGTCGAATTTGAGGAAGTTTTCTTCATGAAAGTTGTTTCCAACATTTTGAAGTATAACATATATTAATTTGGGAATTTTTGGAAATCATTTGATGCCATTCGGAAGTCCATCTTTGGACCGAAATAAAACTGCCCGATTTACTGTTCACCCGACCTTCGGGTCTGTTCGAATTTTTATAAATTTTTCCAGGCCTATTCTCGAAACACTTCCTTCACAAAACCTGTTGGGGACATTTGTGGCTATAACATATAAAAATTTCAAAGCTTTTCAAGGTGATTTGGGTGTTGAAATAAATGTATTTTGAGGACAAAAATAGTCTGTTAGAGCGAACTGATTTTGGTCTGATTTTGAGGGACAAAAAGGCATGGTTGTAGATTGAACCTGATTTCGTGTTCTTCATAAGAAATGTTTATCGGGATGTGTTTTGCGACATATCCAAAATTTAGAATTTTTGGAGTTCGTTTACTATTTATTTTGATGGGATTCCGGTCACTGTTTAGGGTTCGGTTTAGGGGATTTTGTGACTGTTTTAGGGGCTGTTTGGGGCTGAATTGAGAGACTGGTTATTTGGTGGTTGTGGACTGATTTGGCGACGAAAATTTGAGGTATAGAAAGCTTGGGTAGGACCGTGATGTTGTGACTGGATTGGGGTTGAATTGTGCAATCGATCAGTGGGAATTATGCTATGAATTGAATTGTGTACGTGGTTGTGTGATTTGTGATCGTGGGCTGATTTGGATTATGCTTGGGTTGAATGTGGATTGGTGATATGCAGTGTGTGCTTGGCCGTGAGATGTGGTGGTGTGATAGTGCATTCGCGTATTGTATTCGCGTGCCAAGAATGTGTGATTGGGTGGCGTGTTCGTGTGACGAGAACGTGAAATTGTGAAATGTGTGTGAGGTGTGCGTGTTTGGCGTGTGTAGGTGTGGCCGTGTGACAAATGTGGTTTGAGTGGAACGAAGGTGCTTGGAATGTAGGATTGGTTTGAAAAGTGAGACCCCGAGGCGTGTACGTTTACGCGGGTGAGGTCCGTCCTGAGGCGTGTACGTTTACGCGGGACGATGCCGTCCCCGACGAGGTGACGATGCCCGGCCCGACGGGTGACGATGCCGACGTGGTCAAGACCGTTGGCCTGATGCGTTTTACGCGGGCGCGGTAGAAGGAAAGTGTGTGTAGGATTCCGTCGAGGCGTGTTCGTTTACGCGGGACGATGCCGTCCACGACGAGGTGACGATGCCCGGCCCGACGGGTGTCGATGCGACGAGGTCGAAGACCGTTGGCCTGATGCGTTTTACGCGGGCGCGGTAGTGGTGGAAAGGTTGAGAATGAGCGGGAATTGGCTTGAGGTGCGAGGTTTGAGAAAGTGACGCGTGGTGTGAGTTGGTGTGCGAGTGTGTTTGTATCGCGTAATGCAGTGCGCGATTATGGGGTAAAATCTGCTAGGCATGGTATGGGACGTGCCCAAGTAGGTTTTTCTTTATAATCGAGGCAGCGCGCGGCCGTGATGTACTGCTTGTGGTATGATTGGCGCGTGTATTGATATGTGGAAAGTGTGTGATGGCATGTGTGCAAGAATTGTATGTTGGGATTGTGGGCTAACGTGCATGGTGCGTATGCAGAGAGTCCAGTATGTGTGAATGTTTGATTCTTGCTGGTTGTGTGGTTGTTTGGTTGCGCGTTTGGATGTGTCTCGGAATTACGTGATAGCCTAGGTGGGGCTTAGGTTGTGACTTATTGAGATGTGATCTCATGGTTGTTTCAACCAAACCATTTGAGCCCCCCCCGAATGTCGAGATTGAGGTCGACTGAGTCGTCGGGTGAGCGAGGCTGCGGAGGATTCAGGTGGTGATGCCGAGGACAGTGAGTCGAGTGACGCCTTCGAGAGGGCGTAGGGGATAGTTCTGGGAGGAGGATGCGCCCCATTTTTGGATAGTGCTGACCTAGAGAGCTGATCTTGATATTTTGGTGGTTTGGAGTTTATAGTTCGGTGTGCTTATAAATTATTTTGTGGTTTGTATTGGCGGATGATGTAAATATTTGGAAGTGTAATATATGCTTGGTGGTTTGACGATTTGTTCCTTCCTGGTGTTCTCCAATTTTAATGTCCGGGATTTTTTATTGCTTCCGCCGCGAGTTAACTCTGATGGATCGTTGGGTCGGCGACGTTATTCCTGGGACGTCGCACTCTGTTCGACCGGAGGAGGGATGTCGCGGGCTCGACGGGGGTTCGGGGCGTGACATCATGTGTCATCCTTAATGATGATAAAGAGGTTAATGATTTGCATGTGTTTCGTGTATATTTCCTGGCAAATAATTGCAATGACTGGATTTAAGGTTTCCGCTTATACCGATTATCTCGTAAATACTTGAATTTGTAATAATGATGAGTCAATTAATGTTTTGATCGTTGTTGAATTTGGATAGCATATTATTATGAGGAAGTCTCGGTGATTTGATCGGTCACGTGACGACCATGATTGGTTGAGATAGTCACGTGGTGGCTCCAAAAGTACATGAAAAACTCAATATTTTGCTCGGTCAAGGGGCAATTTGCAATTGGTTCTTCCTTATGTGTGCTTTCAATTACCGACGTGATCTCTTTTCTTCTAGTAATAAAATGTCGAAATTTGAGTGCTTTTTTTTTTGTGAGTCATGATTATGTTCTTATCATTGTCTAGTAAAACGTAGAAAATACGAAACCATTTGCCCAAAAGACCAGAGTCTAAAATAAACAGTAAAATGGTGATTTTGAGCCATAATCCGTTATGACTTTTTATCAATTTGTGGGGGCTCCTTTCTACGTTGAATATCAGTTCTATTCTATTAATTTCATGTGGTGATATGATCTGGGTTGTGGGAATTGTGATCTAGAAGTTTCAAAAAATCTTGGAATAAATTTTAGACCTAATAGACGAGCTTCAAATTGGATGTCGATTTCTGTTCATATGTCTATATTGGATTGATTATCATATTACCCACAGTAATGTTGGTCATTTTGCGCCTTTAATTTCGAATCAATTCCATTCGGGCCACCTGCATGCATGGGCAAAATTCCTCGTAATTTTACCGAGTGTTAATGGTAGAAATTCCTCATAATTGGACCATCATTAGGCTAGTAGATGCATGGGTAAGCTTCGTGATTCTATTTCCAATCTTAATGACAGTTTGATTGCGTGCAATTTCGAGTTATTATGCATTTACACGAGAATGCATTTGACTGGCTATAGAGTTATTCAGAAGCTTTTCCGTTATTGGGTCTATCTCTCGATAAATTAGGGACTACTATGGAATTTAATCAGGATTTTCGATGATTAATATTTAACAAAATAAAAAAATAGAGCTTTAATTGCACTC